ACTTTGCGGTTGTTTACTGTAGTCATCATGAGGAAGTCCATGACGCGAGAACCCCAAAATGAGCAATTGCGGGGGAATATCGCGGCCGCATGGCGAACTTATTGGCGTAGCACCAGATGCTCACCGATCAGTTCCGAATGTCGGTTGTATCGACACATGATATGATGTTTTACAAGCAAGCAGTGGTCGATTGCTGGCCCCCCTCTGCGGTGTGGATCTTTGAGAGCAGATTTGACGCAATCCACCGATAGACCCACATCGGAGAGGCGGACCTGCCATCATGCCGCTGTTCACTGTAATCATCATGTGGGAGTCGACTACGCAATGACCCCACGATGTTCCAATAGGGAAGTGTTTTTGTGTTCTGTGCAGGTGCTAATCATCGGCTCGTATGAAGCGTGTTGAGGGACAGAGGAGATTCTTCTAGCATGGGACGAGGGAAACAAACGACTTATTCGGTGACGAGAAGGAACAAGCTTGAGCGGCCTGCAACTTCGGATGGATCCGAGACACAAGATGACATGCAGGACAAGGTAGATTGCAGCGTCAGCCGACGTCGCTCACATCCATTTCCGCCAGGCAGAGGTTGTTGCACAGAGGTCTACGGACATGGCACCACATTGCATGGCATCGAATCCAAAAACCATCGCGAGCAATAGCTAAACATGACACTTCGACATAATTTAGAGTGCGTAGCACAGTTTGGAAACCTCGTGCGCCTCCAAGGTGTACAAGCAAAAATCTCGACTGTCCACTTAGCGAATCGCACAAATGGAATCTCACGTGTTGTATTTATCCATGCATCCTGTTTAAAGTTGGGTGCACACGCACATGTCTGTTTGTTGAGTCAGATGAATCCGAAACACCTACATAAACGTCACATTCGCAAGTCTATACTGTGCGAGATTCGCATGTCGGATGCATCCTGGACACGTAACAGCAGCGCAGACCAACATCTCTCATGTATGCAATGGCAGAAAGTGACCAACACGTACACAAACGATGGGGGTGATCACCGTCGCGAGAAAAGGACCCGATGATTTTGCAATCGCGAGAAAATGACGCGACGATTTTGCAATCGGGACGTGCTATGTATTCAGTGCGGGTGCTGATCATCGACCCGTATGCAGCGTATTGACGGAAAGAGGAGTTTCTTTTCACAGTGGTCTAGGGAAACAGACGACTTTTTCGGGGATGAGAATGAAAATGCTCGTAAAGCCGGCGAATTTCGGATGGATCTGAGACACAAGATGTCATGCAGGACATATATGATTGCATTCTCGGTCGGCATCGCCCACGTCACTTTCTGCCATGCAGCGGCTATTGCACAGAGGGCCACAGACACGGGCACCACATTTCATGGCGTCCTATCCCAAAACTATCGCGGACAGTTACAAAGCATGGCAGTGCTAGACGATCTAGCGGGCGGAGAACTGTTTGGAAACCGTGCTTGCCTCGAAGGCGTGCAAGCAAATAAACTCGATGGTGTGCAGTTAGCGAGTCGCACAGACCGAATCTGATGGGTTGTTGTTTGGCCAAGGATCGTCCTTAGGGAACCTTTCATGCATCGTGTTTAACGTTGGGTGCGCACGCACGTATCTGATTGTTGAGTCGGATGAATCCGAAACACTTATAGAATGTCACMTTCGCAAGTCTGCAGTGCTAGTTCAAATGCCACAACGCCGGTGTCAACTTTAGCCGTCATGAGTGAGTCTCCTTTTCCCTTAAACACAAGGTCTGACAACCCGTCCGGACCTTATGACATATAAGGTTTCTCGCGGACGAGGTCGTGAACCGAAGCCATACATGACATTCATAGATGATCCATATACGTGGCTCTGTGGTTCGTGGACCGTTGCAGTCTTTGAAAACACGAACATGTATTTCATCTTGACGAACCCTCCTCGTCGTGCTAAGGAATTCCCTATACAGTCACGTATTTCAGACACTTTCTCTTCTGCCTCATGCCACAATGACAAAAAAACTCTTACCTGACCTGCCCTCACCAAGTCTGACCGCCCATCTACATCTGGGCGAGATATGATTTTGAACTTGGATCCCTGAAGCACCATCTCGTTGCGTGACACAAGCACAACTGCATCCACAAGTTTCCTACTTTTGGTTGAAGAAGCCACACATAGCACTCTGGCGAAAGGACATCCGTCATCCGTCAACCGCACACAACAGTAGGACAGAGCTTGTGGAGAAGTCCCTGGGCAACAGAGTGGGCAGTGTTCCAAGAATGAACAATGACGAGCGCAGTCCACGAACTCTTGCTTCTGCGAACTTCCCCAAGTTCGTGGCGAAGATGTGATGTACTCGCAGTGGAGGCGACGTCTGAAGCTGGTACGGAAGCGGATCGGTTTACCCATATCGTCCAGTGTCTTTCGATGGAAGACACCATCAGGCAGTGCAACGAGGCTCCCGAACTCCAACATGTTGGCAAACTTGTAATGGCTTGCCCAAGGGCAGGAACGCTCCATCGCCTTCCAATCATTATCGTTCCATTCGTCGAGATGCCGGTTCATGTACGGGACGACGGTCATCCATGGGTGGTCTTCGAAGTCGTCCTCGGTTGCTTCGTCGATCCACGTTTGACCGTCATGATGCCGCACCGATCTCGCACAAGGTGGAAAGGGTTTCGCTAAGCGCATGTGCTTCTCGAAAGTCATGGCGATGCTTGTCGAAGGTCTCGATGACATTATACTCACTACACAACACGCACACATGGACAGATATACGGAAGCGGAGACTGTCGAAAAGAATGTCGGTGAATGATAGTTTCCTTGACGAGGTCCACACCCAGTTGTCACGCCCAACACTTTTTTACCGGCAAAGCCCTTATAGAAGGTCGTCAATCGGAAAATGACAAAAAAAAAAGATCTTTCCACATCGCATTGCAAAGCATCCAATCAGAAGTTCACCAAGCCAATGGAGCGTTTTCTAGAAGTCACACAGGGACCCGTTCCAGAGCAGATGCGGGATTTCCAAAAACATTAAAACCCACGCCGTAAAGCACATTGAGACGGAAGGAACAGTCGGACGACCCACGCCGCCGTGTGCAGAACATGCGCCTCTGGATATCTGCGAGAGAAACGGAACAGCACACCTACGTCGTATAGCCCACATGACACCGCCTCATCCACAGAAGACGTTTTCGCACAGTCGACATGACACGTTCTTTTCGCAGTCGGACTAGAAACGAAGCCTACGCACGGTCATTCTGAATATGAGTCGAACAGAAGTGCAACACAAGCCGGAACGTCCTATGTCGGACTAGAAACGAAGCCTACGCAAAGTACGAACATTCGGTCACAAGTCCATACGAAGTCCTACACATAAGCCGATTCAAGTCGAAGACCCACAACAGAGTCATGCGGAAGTCGCTAAGAAGTCCATAGCTCATCCGAACCTGGCACAGTGCTCACCCGCCAATAGAAGTTTTAGACAGAAGCTCATCCAAGCCTACGAATCCGCGGTTCGGATCAATCCGAGCCACCGCCTCGGAAGGATAGACATTAGATGAGATGTTGTGCGACCATGCGTGGTTCGGATTAATCCGAGCCACCGCCCAGCGACTTCGCGTCACTGGATGGGATGTGGCAGAAGGATGAGACACCCCTGGAATCGAAGGAGGATCCAGGAGGAAGCAACACGTCCTTTGCGATGTCTGCATTACTACCGCATGTGCAAGAAAACAACTCAGAGAAAGCCAAGAGTGCCATTCCCAGTTCATGAGACCCGCCTGCGCGATGTGGCAGACAAATCAGACTCCATTGTCGTCGAGCTATGAGGTTTAGATTAATGCGGACCACAGCAAACGGTTTCTGTAAGGCGGTACCAAGACGTCCTGCGATATGTTCACATTTCGCCGCTCGAAAGGAAAAAACAACAACGTATGCCATGAGTGCCCACCTTCGGTTAGGGTATGTTGTATTATGAACGAGTTTCATAGAGCCGTCGTTTTCCTTTCCCCATGAGACCTTTCGTCACTGGGCATGATACTCACCTCGAGACTCCCGAGGCGCTGAGGGATGTGGTTCGGATTGATCTGAACTACATCACACGTTTAGGAGTGAGGCTCAACTGATAAGTCCTGTGTGAGTGTTGCACTACCCAATGCGGAAGAAATAAACACTGACAAAAGCCACGACTGCCGTCCGTCAGTGGTCTGTGGTTGTGGTTCGGATTCATCCGAGCTACAAACGAAGGCAAAAGCAAATGGGGAGCTATCGGAGTATTGATTTGTGGAGAGGTTTACTTCGAAAGTGATCCCCTGTGGCGTCGTTGTCCCTTCCACTGAGACATCGGAGGGGTGAGGTTCCCGTTGAGACTTCACACGAGCCGAGGGTTGTGGTTCGGATTCATCCGAACTACATCACACGTTCCGTAGTGAGGCGGAACAAAAACGTCTAGCCTAAGAATTGCATAACCCCTTGTGGGAGACAAAGAACAACAACAAAAGTCATAAGTGGCGGGATGTCATGGACAGGGGGTCGCCTCAAAACTCCGAATGGGGGGACGTTGCGTGAAAACAATGGGTCGGACGTAAGGGGGGCATCGTCTTCCAACCAACAGCATCATGAATGGCATCTCCTATTGCCTTCATGTCGAGCTCGGATGAATCCGAACTCCATCCGGAACATGTGGCAGGAACGACACTCTCTCGCTCCCACTGCAATCCTGCGCACGCCCCCCTAAGCTGCTTTGGAAAACGCAGCAACGATTAATTGGAATCGAAATGTGATCGGCGTGGATCTAGAGCTGATCGTTCCACGAGGTCATTGGTGCGTTCATTCAGCTCAAATTCGAGACTGTAATCGTAGCAAGGATTGCCCACGTCAGAGTTCGCCCAAACGGAATCGTGGCGAGGGGACGGGCTGCCGCACGGGCGGCGGTGCTGTGACGTTTTCGTGTGGGTGCGATGGAACTTGTCAACGCTGGTTCTATATCCAAAATGTTGCCGATGCGTGTCCGGCGTCTCACGCCCGGTTGCGTGGTGGTTCCTCATTGCTAGCTGCGTGTGCGAAAACGGGCGATGAGTCTTGGATATGTCATGTGGGCCTCCGCATATGAGTGGTTCGCGCAATTGTTCCGACCAAAGGAAGACAAGGAACGTTCAGGACAACCAGAACAAGATCCAGATGTCGTTCACAACCGCGATAGCCGTGCTGAATCACCAAGTCGATCTGAAACGAGCTCGAAGTTGGCCCTTGGCGATGGGATGTTGCGGGATTGGCGGTGGTCCAGGATGTTGCGGATTCGCCATGGGTCTCTGTTGTGCGCAACGGGTCTTCGCTGAACRTTTTGGATGGGTGGCTTCGCCACTGTTGGCAGTGCGTGCGACACGGGCGATTCCTGTTGGAGGTGCGTGTTTGTCGTGAGGCTTCCAGCGCAGCGCTCCGCTATTGAGGACATGGGATGATGTGATCAGCGTTGCGATAACACATCATCCGATAGACTTCAACACCGGAGATGGATGGACGGGATCTGAAAGTCGATCGGCACGCGTTTTTCAGATGAGGTCTCCGGTGTTGACGTTTATCGGATGATGTGTTATCGCAGCGGTGATCACATATCACCACAACTGTGGGAGAACATCCGAAAGTCGTGAAAACCGACGATAGCTAAACGGGACATCAAGTGGATCGACACGTGATCTTGAGGACGTCGGGGAGCAAGGACGATGAAACTTCCTCCACACGTCAGATGTCGTCGTCGAAGGCGTCCGACGATCTTGAATGTGAAAGCCGCAAGCCATTTCGAATTCTAGACGTCATGCGCAAGATGGTGACGTCAGCGTGTGTCAGTGGATGGGAACTTTCGTGGTTGTGAGCCTTGGACATCGTGGACTCAAGATCGTGCGCATGTCGACTCGTGCGTGATTCACGGAGCAGGTGGTGATGTAGAAGACGACTTGCACAACCAACTGCATTGCGATATCCTAAGTAGACTGGGGGAAGACAACCCGCAAGCCAGGGTCCAAGAAAGTGGACCAACAAACGAGATTGAGGACGCCAAGACGCGACGGCGATGCGACTTTCTCTACGCGTCAGATGCGGTCGCCGGAGGCGTCCGACGATCTTGACTGTGAAATCCGCAAGCCATTCCGGTTTGCTGACGTCATGCGCAAGATGATGACGTCAGCGTGTGTCACTGCATGGGGTCTTCCGTGGTCGTGATCGTTGGGCGTCGTGCACTCAAGATCGTGCGCGCATGATTGGCGGAGCAGGTGGTGGCAGAGAACAAGACTTGCGCGGTCGAAGGAGTGGAAGGGCAATGGGAAGAGGTGGGGGCTTGAAATGGTGAAGGGCCGAGCAGGCGGCATGGGCTTCTTAATGACCTGCGAGTCGATAAACGCCTCCAGCCGACACAAGAAGAGCACAGCGCGAATGGGACGACGCGCAAGGTCTACAGTCATGTGTCGTTTACGTTAGCGCCCCCCACTATCGACGATTGCTGGAAGAATGAAGTTCTGAATGTTCAAGGGGCCTGCGATATGATGGCGGCGACTTCGAGCGATGGCGGACGCGTCGCAGCGGCAGCACACGGAAGAAATGACAACAACGAATGGGTGTGACAGCCACCCCGATTCGTTTGGTGCCCGACAGGGGAACGGTGAGTGCAGTGAGTGGGGCTTGAGGGCCCCTTCAGCTGCCTGCCGCAGGGTCAGTAATGGCGTACTGTCACGTCAAGGGCTGTGACATCAGGCGGTCCCTTTTTTTACGGACCGTCCTGACGAAATCGCCCGATCCGAAACCGTCGCGGGAGGGCGGGCCGTGATTTCGAGAGGACTGGCCTTTTTTTCACCGTGATATCGACAGTTCCAACGCATCATCTAGCGCGAATTTTTCCGCCAACCTTTTGATTATCGGGGCCCACACGGATGTTACCTTCATATCGACGGTTCCAATGCATTATCCGGCGTGAATTTTCCCGCCCACTTTTGTTTCTCGGACCCCGCGCGGATGTATCCGCCATTCGAATGACGGTGGCGCCATTCCGCGAATTTGCAGGTGGGCATTGCAATAGTCCGAAGCAGCAGGCAATCGCAGGTGTCTTCAACCCTCACGGCCGAAAATGCCCGTCGCGCGCCCAGACCATCTGCCCTTGCCAGCGACACATCCATCTCGTCGCCGTCTCCCCCGCCATCCGCCTCGCTTCTCTCTCTCTCCCTCGTCGCCATATCCCTCGCCTCGCCATCTCCTTCGCGTCGCAATCTCCCACGTCTCCATTTGCGGTGTTGCCCTCTCACGAGTCGGCACCTCCCTTTTCGCACGTCGCGACACGCGTCGTCAGATTGCGGTTTGAGATCAGCATCCAAGTCGCTGGGGCCATTGTTTTCCAACAACAGTTATAAATCAAGGAAGGAAAAGGTGCGTTCTCTCTCTCTTTCTATCTCCCTTTCTCTTCTCTCTTTGTCTCTCTCCCCCTCTTTCTCTCTCTATTTAGCTTTGTCTCTCTCTTTCTTTCTCTCTCTCTCTATATATAGGGCTCTCTCTCTCTTTCTCTCTCTCTCTCTGTCTCTATATAGCTCTCTCTCTCTCTCTATCCGAACTACCTCTCTCTCTCTCTCTCACTCTCTCTCTCTTTCTCTGTCTTTCACTCCCTTTCTCTCTCTTTCTCTGTCTCTCTCTCCCTCTCTCTCTCTCTCCCTCCCTCTCTCTCTATCTCTCTCTGTCTCTCTTTCTCTCGCCATCTCCACCGACCTCAAAAGTCCTACCATTCTGTGTTTGCGTAGAGACCCCCATCCGTCAACGTGCCCACACATATATATGATCTGTAGTTGGGATTCGCGCGGTGGCAATTACATTGGGTTAAGTCGCCGCGAACGAACAGTGTCGTGTGATCGAACATGGATCTCTCTATGTGAGTCGGATGTGTGATCGGGGTGACATTCGGGGCCATTTGATCGTGACGTTTGATTCGGCCGTGTGATGAAGGCGGAGATCGCCTCTCTGTCGCTCTCTCTCTCTCTCGCTATCTATTTATCTTTCTTTCTGTCTTTTATCTCGTTCGTTTTTCTGCGCTTGTCTGTGTCGTTCGCACAAAGTTTGCGAACGAAACTGACAAGCGCAGAAAAACGAACGAGACAAAACCAACAAAAATAAAAGATTAACTAACGACGAAGACGAAGACGGGACAGGCACACGACCGCAAAACGTATGCGAAGAAGAAAAGGCAATTGCATACGTTTTGCCGTCGTGTTCCACCACCATCATCGTCCCCGTCGTTAGTTTTCTTTCAATTCCTCTATTTCGTTCGTCTTTTGCATTGACCCGTTTCGTTCGCGAACTTACCTCAGTCTGTGTTCACGAATCCAGTTCCATTGGCGACCACTCGCCCCGATCAAATGGCACACTGACACGTCCACGTGTCAGGTCCTTAACAAGCGTGGGCAAGCTGATGGATGCGGGGCTCTATGCGCAATAGAATGTTGTCGAATAGAGCCCCACACCCATCAGCGTGGCCATGCATGTTCAGGACTTGACACGTGGACCTGTGTGTCGTCGTGTTCAACTACCATCATCGTCCCCGTCGTTAGTTTTTTTTTAGTGCCTCTATTTCGTTCGTCTTATGCGTTGGCCTGTTTCGTTCGCGAACTTACCGCGGGGTGCGTTCGCGGATCTCGTTCCATTGGCGACCACTCACCCCGATCAGATGGCACACTCACACGTCCACTTGTCAGCTCCTAAACAAGCGTGTGCACGCTAATGGATGCGAGGCTCTATGCGGCAACAGAATGTTGTCGAATAGAGCCCCGCACCCATCAGCGTGGCCACGCATGTTCAGGACTTGACACGTGGACGTGTGAGTGTGGCATCTGATCGGGGCGAGATGAAGGAGTTTCGAGAGCAAGAATGCATGCGTTTCATTGGGGACCACTCGTCCCGATCAGATGGGACACTCAGACGTCCACGTGTCACGTTTTGAACAAGCGTGGCCACGCTGATGGATGCGGGGCTCTATGCTACAACAGAATGTTGTCGAACAGAGCCCCGCATCCATCAGCGTGGCCAGGCATGTTCAGGAGCTGACACGTGGACATGTGAGTGTGCCATCTGATCAGGGCGAGTGGTCACCAACGAGACGGGACCCGCGAATGCAGCCTGAGAATATTGTGACACGCGCTTCGAGATTGTGTCGTCACTTCAGATGTTTTCTTGAAGTGTTTCTCGCGTCTCGTCAATTTGTTGTCTTTCTCACGAACTTCGATATAAGGTTTTTAGTCGTATGTTGTCGAACGCGAAAATATGGATTCTCACGAATAGTCTCTCTTCTGGATTGTACGTGGACTTTCTTCTCGCCGAATTATTTTGTATTGCGCTCGGTTTGTTAATTCGTTTTTCCGCGTAAGTTCGCTCGGCATTCGGTTTTGTATCCGTAAATTGTCCTCTACAGCCGACACGAACACGACCGTTCGCGGTGCATCCTGTGACGTGACACGATAAACAACGCTCGTTGTCTTCATGCGAAGCGCCATTTCATGTTCGACAAGCGACGCGCAACAGGAAGATAATTATACGTTTTCTCTTATATTTCTTTTGTGCGGTTTTTAAATGGTTCACATTGCGAATTCCGAAAAGACAACACCATCCGCAGGATCTGCACATGGAGAGACAGAGAGATAAAGACAGGCTCTCTCGCTGCGCCCCCTCTCCTTATCGACGACTCTATCGATCTTAGTCTCCCTCTCGTGTCTATGCGGGTTTTCTGCTTTTCTTCAATCTTTGTGTATCACAGACAGTCGCTCAACCGATCTTTGGTTGGTCCCCCCTGAGTGCAATCATAGATCGGTAATCCGACGACTGCTAGGACAGATTCGAAGACACAGACAGTCGCCTAATCGATTCCAGGTTGTTCCCCCTTTAGTGCAATCACAGATCAGCAATCCGAAGACTGTTAGGACAATGTCCTAGCAGTCTTCGGATTACTGATCTGTGATTGCACTCAAGGGCAAACATGAATTCAAATCTTTAAACCCTATCAAACCTCACGTCAGGCAATCATCGCGAGGAACCCTTTCGCTGACGTGGACACATGACAGGACATGGAGCGATCAGATGCTCAAACCTCGCGTCAGCCAATCGCAGCGAGAAAGCCTATCAAGTCTGACCGACCAGGACGACGACAGCCCACCCTGTCCATACCATCCTCTGGTGGCGCAATAACTAACGTATCCGAGCCACCCTTGTTAATTTCGGTTTCATCCGAGCAACAACCCACCAAAACTCATGAGGCGAGCACAAACTGAGGCACCTCGGCGAAGTTCGGATTAATCCGAACCACACCGACGACAAGTTCGGATTTATCACATGCTCAGACGGTATTTACGATGTTGCACGTTCTGATAAACTTGAACGATGAAATCACACGCTGTCAACAGACCGTGCCGTCCATCCGCCGGTCCCCGTCTCGGATTAATCCGAACTACACCTGCGACAAGATAGGGTCCACCCTATGCTCACAGGTCATTGACGAAAACACGCCATGCCGATGGCCTCCTCTTGTGGTCGGTTGTTTGTGGATCGCAGTGTGCTAATTCGGATGCATCCGAGTCACAACCCTCACCATATCAGAAGGACGAGAAAACTCGAGTCCGGATTAATCCGGCCCACACATATGTAGTCCACACCACTTTTGGGCTCGATTGCATCCTGAGCACACCGAGGAACTTCACAATCCGCTTGTCGACTTCGGATGATTCCGTGTCTCAATGGGGTGCACAGCTTCGTCTGCTCTACCAGCGTTCCAGGGCCTCCTAGTGCAGTCTTGCTTCTCCCGATGCAGGTTCCTATTACTGGCAACGATACCCGACGTCGGTCTTTCGACTGTGCCCAGTTCGGATGTATCCGAACTACCCCGCTGTCTTCCTCTTCGACCATTCCTTCTACGAAGCGCAGTCTGATGACGAGGGTTAACGGTCCCTCGGATTCATCCAACTAAAACGAGCCGAGAAGGTGACGCTCGGGTAGAAGAAAGACGAGCTCGAAACTTCTACTGCGACTACAGCAAACGTGTCTGTTGTTTGGATTGGGCGAGCCAMAACCAACTAAAACTCTCGAGGACGACGACACCCCCTGTAATGACGCACAAATTATAACCACACTATGGCAATCGTGGGGAGGTCCGGTGTGTGGTGGGGCGACAATAAACCGAAGCGCCTCAGCGAAGTTCAGATTAATCTGAACCACACCGATAGCTTGTTCGGATGTACCACATGCGCAAAGGGTATTGACGACGTCGCACGGTCTGATAAACATAAACGACGAAAGCACACGGTGTCAGCACAGCCTCTCGTGGTCGCACGTATCGGGACAGCCCTTGTCGAAATTGGATGAATCCGAGCCACACCCGTCTTAAACACTCAAGGACGAAGACACACCGTGCGAGTTCGGGTGGAACCAAGGACAAGAGGGGAATAACGGAAGCTTGGATGGCTGGATGGGCGTCAACAGTCCGTGGCGTCCATCCGCCGGTCCCCGTCTCGGATTAATCCGAGCCACATTGGCGAAGTTTAGGTTCAACTGAACCAAACCTCCGGCAAGATAGGATTAACCCAATGTTCACAGGTCGTTGACGAAAACACGTACTGTAGATGGCGTCCTCTTGTGGGTGACCGTCTCTGGACCCCGCTGTTCGAAATCGGATGCATCCGAGTCACAACCGTTGCCGACTCAGAGGGACGAGAAAACTCAAGTTCGGATTGGTCCGGGCCACACGGGCGTGGTCCACAACACATTGGAGCTCGGATGCATCCGAACTACACCGGCGAACTTTACGATCTGCTTGTCGACTTCGGATGAAATTGTGTCATCATGGGGTGCACATCTTCGTCTGTTGTCTCAGCGTTCTAGGGCCTTCTAGCGCGGGCTTGCTTTTCCTGGTGCAGGTGCCTATGACTGGCAACAATATGCGACATCGGTCTTTCGACTGCGCCTACTTCAGATGTATCCGAACTGTCCCGCGGTCTTCGATTTCGACCATTCGTTCTCTTAAGGGCAGTGTGACGAGGATGGCTCACGATGCCTCGGATTCATCCGAAACGTGCAGTTGCCCTCCTTTCGAGCAGACGTGTAGACCACTGTCGTCTAACTATGACTGAACTTCGTTCTTTTGGGGTCCGGGTGATCGATAACAGAATACGTGTTGTGGGTCGAGGTTGATGTTAGGACGGGCTGAGTATTCTGAGTGCATGTGCGTTCATTTCCTCCGCGTGTTTCAAGGAATGGCTACACACGGACGAAGCCGCTCCGCTGGTGGTTCCGCCCAGAATGAAGAGGAGCATCGAGGGACGACGTCGTCACCGGCAAGGGAAACGAGTCGGGGAGGTGGCGGTGGGGAGGAAGACCGAAGGGCTTAAAACTGGTGGTGCGACTACAACAAACGTGTCTGGTATTTGGACTAGGCGAGCCAGGATGGCTCCGACCCGTTGAAACCACCGTGCGGGCCGCTCTTGTTCCTCGCCGTTCGCGCCGATAGGACGCGT